AACTCGTCATACTTCCGCTGTTCGTCCGGCGGCAGTATCGTTATGATGGTGTACACGACGATGCACTGGTAGTCCATTGCGCACCACCGCGGTACAAGATTTGCCGTGCCGACGGAACACTGCACGCGCCGCGACGGACATGCACCGCGCGCGCGACCGCGGGGTACCCCGCCGCCAAGGTAATGGAGAGGGGGGGAGTGACGGACAGGCGGTCCTCGGACTGGCGTGCGTGCGGCCGGCGATACCGGGAGATGTTCGCCAAAAGTGGACGGCCTTCGATGTCTCGCGCGCGCGAAAAAAAAACTTTGTATGCGTTGCGTGTAGCGCACGCGCGGCGCGGACGCGGCCGACCGCGAGCGTGAGAAAATCATGCGGCGAACGGGTCGATCTGACCGCAGCGACGACACGGACAGCGCGCCGGACTTGCAATGTTGCATCTCCCGAAAGCCCGGTGCGACGAGGCACGGGCGCGAGTGCCGACCGCGGCGGGCGAGCAACAGGCGGCCGCGACGGTGGCGCGCCGCGCTCAGCCGCCACCGACACGACGGTCGGTGGCGGTCGCCATGACGATGTCGTAAAATACCTATAAGCCGTATCGTAATGGAGTATGGAAAACGCTGCAGAGAGTTCAAGCGATGTCGTGTCGATGGGTACGCGTCACGAGCTCGAGGAGGTGGAGGCGGACGAACGGTACACGGCGCGATTGGATATCTCTGGCAGGGATTTTTTTCGTTTTTTGCTCTACGCTCAATCACTCGCTCGCCAAACCGTTTCCTTATTCAATACGCATAATGATAAAAAAAAAAAAAAAAGGATATGTATATTGTATATATATTATGTATTTTTAAACGTCGTCACAGCGCCTTTGTCACCGCGATCGCTGTCTCGACGCATTATATCATATCGTGGTACACACAGAAATACTAAAGAATAAGCAAAAAAACCACATCTTGCACACACACCAATACAAGAAAATCATATACAAAACACCGACGCGTAAAATGAAAAATATATTGTAATCAAAACCCCATATGGTTTGTAAAAAGAAAATCGCTTTGTTATTTTCTATAAAGCCCACAGTCGTTGCAGCTGTTTAGGGTGACCGACCTACATTATTACACACATATTTCACGAAGCACTGCAAGTGTACACACAACGGTTCAAAATATGATGTGAAAAACAATATTATTATGTAGTATAGTTATAAGGCATAAAAATAAATAAAATGCGAGCATTTAAAATTATTATAGATGGAAAAAAATATAAATATTTTTCATTCATGATTATAATTACAAATTCAATAAGTACAGGAAATGTTATAGTTAGATTGTAAATTTCAGAAACAGACAAAACAGTTATGAATATTATAATATTATATAATACAAAAATAAATACTATTAATATTCTTTACTATTTCCATCATATAAAGTGTCCGTTTACCAGCGTAATATTAGCCTATATACATACACGCACATAATTATAAATCAGATTTCACAAATAATAAATAAAAATATAATACGAGTCCATTTATTTTAATGAAATGCATTCATGTTAAAAAGAACTAGAGCGAATAAATGCCCAAGATAACCACGTAAAATAGTAAAACTTTATTCACCTCGAACGCAATTTAACACTGAGAAATACAGAACATGCGCGATTTAAAACATAAATAATTACAAACTACAGTCTACAACGAAACGGCGATCATATTAAATTTATGCGTATAAAACAATATATATATAAACACTATCGTCTAAACAAAATTATATTTCAGCACGAATAAAAATATTTGTTATAACAAGAGTACATCCCTATTTTTATTATCAATAAAACTAAATTTTACGATTTCATGTCATCAAGATTCAGATTTGAAATATTAATAAAAATACAAATATAAAATATTAAAACGAACACACAGGAAACGAATTTATTTTGATTGAAAGTACTTACAGAAAAAATATATATGGGCAGTGAAAAACTACATTTTATATTTTCTATTCCAGTTACTATGTAATGTACCTCTCTGATTTTATTTTAATAATAGCAGTTTATATTTTTATAATTTTTTTTAAGATATACGACGAGGTTTATACGATAAAAAATAAGTTAAAGTCAACATTGGTAATATTTAAATTAGTGAAACTTCTTCTACTAAAAATCACTTACAGTATTTTATTTTATCTGAAGTGTAATATAATATTATACCTAAGTAAGCTTTATAAATAATTAAGATTTATTTTATATTATAGCAGAGATATTTACTGAAGTAATCATAATTTTATACCTAAAGCATTAGACTGAAATTTAACTAGAAGTTATGAACAATAAGAACGTCGATTGTGATAATAATCTGTTGTTATTCAACTAACACTTAAACATAATATAACATAATGCTTATTATATTTTATAAGAGGAAGACTTAATATAAAGCACGCTTGCAGTTGTTTTGAATATAAATAATAACAAATTCATAATCCCAGTATTATGAGTTACTAAACAACCATCTTACTTCAAAATTAAATAATACCAATGTACAAGATAATTCACCAAGCATGCACCCTAATTTTTCCTTGTAAAATAAATTTATTCAAACTCCGATTTTTGGAGTTTTAAAGTATAATATTAAGTATTACTTCAAAAATTAAATTTATTTTATACCATTTTAAAAAGTATCTTCTGTAAAAATACAACTTTTTTTTTTAATGAAAACCAATTTTTACTGTAAATTTTTAAGCAGATGATTTTTTTTTGAAAATGATAATACAACCAAATAAAAATTTGGAAGAGTAAATTTTGAGTGATTAGATTATATATTCTAAGAACAATAACACAAAAAGAAATATGTATTATATTTCAAATTATAAAATTATAATATATCGATTATTATTTCACTATAATTTTAAAATTTTAAGCTCTAATACTATCCACCAAACCTATTATATCCTTAGTACACAAAGTCCAATAATTCTAAGACTATATTCATTCGAACTTCTATTTAAAATGATTTGATAATATTTAAAGTTCAAAAATAATTGCACCAAAAATGATCGAAATATACAGTCATAGTCACAAAGATATTTATTAAAAATATGAAATAAAAATAAATAAAGAATAAATCGGCCATCACGCCTAATCTCATTTCACACGTTACTCAATAAAATTATAGGTAGAAATATAATTTATCTAAATTCGAACAAAATACTCGTATATTGATTAATACAGACGACACAATAGTTTTTGATATTTTTAAACTAATAAAAAAAAAAAGTATGGGAACACCGTGGTACAGAAACATGTATCGATTCTCATTTCTATGTACAATCTAAAATCTAGTTGTCATGAGGTTTTATCATAAATCCATAACAATTTACTTTTATATCACTTACCGAAAAAAAGACTGATAAAATCTACAAAAGTTTAAATTACATTCTTTCAACGACAACAAAAAAGTAATTAAAAAAAATCAAAAAAAATATCAAACATTCTGTAGATAATTAAGCTTTTTTGCTAGTTGATAAATTCAACCACTACTATCTCTAATTTTTTATTTCAATAGCAACAAAATCTGGTGTTCTAATTACTTTTATACTTTTCTGATTGTAAAGTTTATTAAATTATAAAAGTATTAACCCAAATAATATGTATAATACAGTTAATTTTCTTAGTACTTAATGCATTAAACATTTTTTATCACAGGTTAGGTTGATAAATGATTAATTTATGATGGAGGGTAGATGAGTTATTTATAGTCATTAATTAATTTTTTTATTCTTCATAATAATATGATTCGTATTATCTATAAATTATAAGTTATAAATACGTATATTGTAAATCATAAAATTAAATTATAGAATCGCTAGAAATAATAATAATAGACACACGATACTTTATGCATAACATATTAATTATATAATATGGAATTTCCATTAGTCTTAGTATTTTAACTAAAACTGTAGATATATAGAGCCTGTAGTTTCTATGGTAACGGCCAAATGTTCATAAGGGGTTCTCAAAATACATACATTTAAATAAAACAATAAATTTACATAAAAATAATTAGAATTTAGTTTTTCCCGACTTCATAAATCACTGAAATGAAATTTATATCAAAATAAATAATTCACAACAATTAGATTAATGTTATTAGGATATTAGAGTACAAATACAAAATTTAAATTATATTTGGTTTATAAAATAATAAGTTATTTAATGTTATTATTTAATTTAAAAGAAAACTAAACTTATCGTTTTTAAATAAAACCGAAACTTTTTCATTTAGTTTGCTTATTACAATATTATGGTATTGTATACAATTAATTTCAGTTATAACTTAGAATAGATATATCATATACGCGTACCTATTATATCTACTTGATAAAACAGCTGTCATACAATATACTTAATAAAAATTATATTAATATATTGTACATATTATTATATTTAAAAATAATCAAATAAATAGTTATAAAACATAATTATGGAAAATTATTATTACTTTTATATATAGGTTAGACAAACAAAACCAGGTAAATTTAAGTTGATTTAGCTTCTTTAATGTCAGATGTCTCTTAACTTTGAATTCACAACTAATACATAATATAAGAACTTCAAGGACTTAAATGTTTCCTTAAAATTTAAATTTTGGACAATAATTACGAGTATATGATATATCTTGATGGTAAATATACATAATACATACTATAAAATTTAAATAATGTATTACTTACCTATCAAATATTCTTGATTCTTTTAGTACATTTCCAAGATTTATGTATGCATCCAAAAAGTTTGGATCCAAAGCAACAGCTTTTTCAAAATGATGAATAGCTAACCATATTTCATTCAAAGAGTTGAATACACATCCAAGATTGCTCCAAGCAACAGCAAAATCTGGTCTAGTTTCAATTGCTTTCAAATAACATGACTGTAAATACAAAATATAAAAGGATCCCAGAGGAAATTCAAGGAAAGGAATAAAAAAAAAAATAATTAATAATAAGCAATAGCTGTGTCTTATAGTTTAAGTGTAAACGGAAAACAGATTGAAAAAAGTGTTATGTACAAATTCCCTCCAAAAAGTTTTTTTAAGTTGGAAAAGCGCAGAAGAAGACATGTAATATTATGCCAGTCTAAACAAAGACCAAAAATTATCTGTGAAGGCTGCTAAAATAATATTACATGGGAAACTTGTTAAAACAATTATAGTTTTCTTTAACTAAGAAAGGAAAAGCATTTATAACAATTTTAACAGCCAACAGACAAAACGCGCAACTACGCAGCAACATACTACGACACAAAATATATTCTGATATTTTTGAAATCGTACTATGCTTATAAAGGGACCTAAACGCGCTCAAGCCATACTTTATATTTTATATTTTAACACAATAGAAGTGTTAGGAGAGAAAATGTACACTAGCGCGCATGCTTCGTCATTAACTTCGCATTCCTTGACACATTCCTATAAACAAAAACAAAAAATGCACTTGTTAAGAAAAAAAAAATCCTAACATCTAAAATATTTGCCCACTTCAATTGGAGAAAATCATGACTATTGACAACTTAATAATAAGTATACGTATAATGTACTCATCACAACACTTTTAATATCATAATTTTCTCTAAGAAGTATTGAAAAATTATGATATTAGATCAAAAATAAAATAAATTTTGGCCCTTTTTGTAAAACCGGCATTGACACCGTTGACATGAACATTGTTACGAGAGTGTGAGGCGAGTGGTTACCAATAAATTTAGTACTTTTGGTGTAATTTCCCGTTTACAAAATTTGATTTTAAGAGGTGTGAATTACTTTGTACCTATTAATGTATGAGGTGGTAGCTATTCAGGAAATAGGAACACACTCGCCGTACATCCTCATCAACTAAATACACAACATTTTCGTATCATGGACCTAGATAAATTGACGGATGGTACCTGAAATTAAAAAAAAAAAAAATCCGAATGATATTAGTATGCACTTCTTGTTTTTAATATATATGTATAAGAAAAACTAGAGTTCCCTTCACGAAAAATAATTGTAAGAATTTCGAATTTAAAAAAAAATAAAGTTTCATTGAAATTGTTGAGATGAAATTGAATTTAATATTACATTTAACTTCAAGACTGTATTCATTCAGATGCAAAATATAGTTTCATTACTTTTTATTACATAGTAAATTGCGAGGTAAATTATAAATGTAAAATTTAAAATTAAACAACAATGGCAGTGTAATAATTAATTAGTATTAAATAATACTATTGATTTATAGTATAAGAGTTTTAATATTTCAAATTAACTCTAAAATGAGTCCTAAATACAGCCTTGAAAGAATACTTTCTCGATCAAAAACCCACACTCAAGTGTTTTTGAAAATGAATGAAATCTAAGCATTAAACGTAATGAACTTTTATTCATACAAACAAGAAATTAAAACTTAATAGAATTAATTTTATAATATCATTATTAGACAATAAAATTCCTAGATCGAGAAAGTGGCAAAGATTTGTTTTAATTACTTACCATAAATAATAAGGAAGGCAGGGTTGTCCATCACTTTTTGAAACCAGGAAAACAGTTTGGATAAAAATTAAAAGAAATTGCAGGAAAGTAGATGAAAGATGAAAAACAATGAAAGGTACATTGGTAACTTTTTGTTGTAGATCGGCGCATTGAAAACTTTTAACAAAATCTCATCAACTAGATGAATCAAAGTTATTGATATATCTATCTATTGTAAAGACTAAAGATAATAATAGAATATAATATTGTAAATTCAAAAAAAATTTTTTTATAAAAACAACTACAATAATCTTAGTGATACTACTCTGCATATAGGGCTGAAATATTTAGCACAGGAAATTTGTTGAATACTTGTATTATTACCAATAAAATAATTAAAAATATAACATATTTAATATTTTGTTGTTATTTATCTATTTTGATAGTAATTCAATCATTTATTTTCTTATCTAATATATTATTCAATATGCGTTTTAATTGTAATGACCATTAAACAATTCTATACAATGTAAAATAATATATATGCAACAATCAATTAAAATACAATAATATATTGAGCTTATTTTACAGAAATAATAAAATAACTTAATAATTTTTAATTTTAAATAAATAATGAAAATTTAACGAAAATAAGGAAAATATTTACTGAAAATATTAAATTCTACATGATCGGATTACTAAGATTACGGTAGATTTAAAATTTTCAATACATTTTTTTATCAATAAATTTTATATTGTAATAGCTTAAAAGAAATAGAAAAATATCATTAAATAATAAATTGATTAAAACAATTAATAATGAGTGTATTAAAATAAAATTATTAGTCTTCATTGCTTTACAATAGATATTATGTGAATAGAAATATACTTAGTTAGGTTAAATGTGGAGTAACATTTACTCTATAAAAATTAAAAGACAGCTATTGGATATTCATCACCAAAAACACATAGGTTTCAAAACTTAATCTGTTATTTATCTCTAATATAAGAAATTGTAATTTCTTTATTTAACTATAAGTGATTACATCATATACCGGCCATGATGCAAAATTAAATAATTGCGTATAAATTATAAATGAAACAAATACAGATTAAGTATTGCAAACTAGTGCTTTATCTATATTCACAGAATACAATGAAAAAAATCAAATGCTCGTGTTAAAAAAATTAATGCTTTATATAATTGTAATTAAAACACTAAAATTATGAATTAAATTTTTATGAAATATCAAAAAATCTTAATTTTTTTTAACTAAACATTTAATTTCTTTCCGCGCGAAAATAAAAATATGCAAGCGCCGCGCCATCAGTTGAATCATTATATAGGTTTTTAAAAATCATCTATTTTTAAAATAATAATAAATAACAATAATAAAAATAATTATTCATATGATTTTACATATATGTATAAATTAATAAAAAAAAAAAAAACATACATAATGATTAAAACTGAAATTCCGCAAACAACCAAAAAAAATACATTATTGTTCACGGAATAAAATTATTTTGATAAAACTGAACATTTTGAATCAATCAATGAAGAATAATAAAGCCACAGCTAACAAAATTCATTCATTTTTTTGTTTCAAAAAATTCAGTCATAATTCGCGCAATAGATGAAATCCAATTGCGGTCTTGAGATGTTAAAATAAAAAAAATCTATTATTCAGAAAAATTTATACTATTTTTGAACAGTGACCAATCTACAACAGAACACCTGAAAAATTAATTAAACAATACAATTGGTATTTGTCATTACCTTAGCCTCATCCAATCTGCCTAATGCTTTCAACAAATTTCCAAGATCGCTTCGAACACAATACAATTCCTAGATACATTAAATGAATCAATCATTAAATATATACAAAAAAATCAAAAATTAAATTAAATCTTACTGGATTATACTGTAATGCTGTAACATATGCTTGTACTGCTTGTTCCATATCACCTGCAGCTACTAGAGCAGCAGCTAAATTTATGTAACCATCAATGAAATCTGGCTTCAAACGTACAGCATGACGATAATTATCAAGTGCATCTTGAAGTTGTCCACGTTCTTTGAAAACATTTCCTAAATTACTGTAAGCTTCAGCTAGTAATGGATTATGTTTTATAGCCAATGATGAAAACTGGGCAGATCTAAAGGAAAATTAAAAAATTAAAAAAACAGAAATTATATTTAAATTAACAATGAACTAACTTATCTAAGCGTCTGCATTGGAAATGAATTGATGATAAAAGTAATAGTACACCAGTATTATTAGGTTCTTGACGCCAGAGCTGCATACAGTGTCTTTCAGAACTTTCATAATCTCCAGATTGATATTCTCTATGTGCCAATTCTAATAATCCTGTAAAAATTATGTTTATTAAATTTAAAAATTACTCAAATTATCTTTTATCTAAACATAAAATATAAATGTATTGACACTCATTATCAAGTAGTTCTAGTGAAGTAAAAATAATAATTTCATAAATCATGTTGAAGTAGTTATTACTATAAATTGTAAGTGAAAAAAATGAGGGATGATGTGTGAGGTGACTAAGTACAAATACTTAGGATTGGTGATTTTGAGGATGACATCAAAAATAGAAAGTGGAAAGAAGTGTTAAATGTTTTGTGTAGCAAAAGGATAATTTTGAAATTAAAAGATAGATTTTATAAAACAATTATGAGGTTTGTCATGTTGAATAAATCAGAACGTTTGACATAAGATAATAAAACAGATTAGAAATTATAACAAATATGAGAATGCTAGGTGTATAGCATGTAATGTAACTAGTATAGATAGAATAATAAGTTAATACATTAGGGACAAGTTTAAGAACGGGGTAGTGAGATGAATAGATTGATACATTTAATTGTATCTTTCAGAAACTAAGTAAGTATGGAAATCATGTAGAAAAATAGAAGAGGAAGAACATAGAGTTTTGGAATAAACAGAACAAAGAATAACATGAAAATATCAGGTATAAATAACAAAGAGATGGGAGGGCAGTCAAATGGTAGTGAAGGTTGTGGTGTGACCTAATATAGTAAGAATTAAAGGGCAAGTAAAGAAAAGAAATATTTATTACAAATTTATATTATGTTTTACTAGTAATTGTACCTAGGAACATTTAAATGGGAGGTCTGATACTCTAATATGAGTTAATCACATTTTATCATGTTTTTAATGATGATTTCATAAACAACAATAATCACTAGAGACCATAACAATATGCATTTGCAATTAATAAAAATTAATTCTTTAAGTTATATTATATTGATCTATAGCAGAGGTGGTCAACATGAATAGGTTTACAGGCTACATAAATAAATACAATGATACCGAAAGCCAAAATGTTTAAAAAATTTGATTTTTTTTTTTTTTTATAAACTAATAACTAAAAATTAAAATTCAAAATAATATTAAGTAAATTTTGATTTTGTAAATAAGACGCGAACCGCATCTGACAATGACGAGAGCCACATGTGGCTTGTGAGCCGCAAGTTGGCCACCAATGATCTATAGTATTTCTTTTGCATATTTGCATTAAATTTTACTATATTATCAACACATATAATTTTGATCTTTCATCATAACAAGTCTTATTATCATGTCAGATTTTTATTAAATTTTTTAGTATTTATTGTCTATGTAAAATAGTATATTATTACTAAACAAATTTCTATTATAAGGGTATTTGGGAGGTTAGAAGAAAAATAATTTGGTTTTATTTTCTTATTTTTATGGAAATATCTAATAAAAACTGATAGTTTCTCAACTTCTAAAAATAATTCTTTAAAATTTAAAAAATAACCATTATCTTTAAATTAAATGGTTAAATTATTAGTATTCATTAATGTTTATTTTCCACTAACTATTTAAGCATTATAAAATTTAGTATTAGGCACTAAACTTGTTAAACATATAAAACTAAATAAAAATTGATTTTTTTTAAATTCCTCAAAAACTTTAAGTATAAAATTTAGATAAGTAGACATTCTGCATACTTTATTTTAGGTAGTTAATGTACATCAATAAAACCATAGATACCAAAAAAACATATAGGTATGAGCTTAAGTTTTTGAATATGTTAATTAATGACTTTTAACAAACTTGTTGCAATAACAAAATAATTAGAATAATAAATTGCATAATCAATAACTATACACTATTAGATAGCTTTCACTGACAAAATAACGCTGTTAATGACCAAATTGAAAAGTCATCATCACAACCTTGCAACAAACTACTATCTACTATCTATATAGCCTTAACAATATTCACTTTTAAATATTATTAGCTGTCATTTCACGATAACCAAGACTAAAATTGTAAATTGATTTTTTATCCAATACATGAGAAAAAATAAACACTTAGAACAATAATAAATGTAAATTTATATCTAATACATTTCCAAATATTAAAATTTTGAAACGTATGTCAGTATTTAGTAATTGATACTTAAAACGGAATTGTGTCGATGCAGCAATAATATTGTTTAACATTTAATAGGGCATATTTAGCTACCTAGTACACTCAATTAGGTAGGTACCAGAGTAGAGCGTAAAGACAATCAGCTAAAAATCATGAGAAATATCAACTCATGATGTCGGTCTCTCAACATCTGTTGCACTCGTTTACATTTTACATACTAACCGTGATTGATCTGCGCCTCCCTCGGACTTTTGGTGATCGGAAAAAAGCCAGGCATAAACAACATTTTGGTTAAAACAAGGCAGTGGACGCGTTAATAAAATATAATATAAAAAAATAAATTAATGTAGTTAATTTTGTATAGCGCACAAATACACCAGTAGATAATGTCGGTATGGACGTCTACGAAAACAACGTCATCACGTGCGCCGTACTCAAAACACGAAAAAGTCTTTGATCTGAGAGCGAGAGTGTGTAGACGTAATTGGAAGTATGCAACGCGAGTGCGATTCAACGTTAGAGTCGGACGGACGTAGAGGAAAACGTTGGACGAAAATTACAATGACACCTTCAACTGCATGGTATATCGCGATAAAAAATTATGAGATGTCGATGGTCGATAACCGATATGATAAAAGTAAACGCACTACCTATACAATATATTTGATGTTAGGATCGAATAACACATGGCTTATACTACTATGGCTCTACGATAAAACACATAAAATAATATGAAATGAATTAAGATAATATTTAACATTTATTATCGATGGTTATGAGTGTTATGACCAACGGTAAAGACTAAAGAAGATCTATTGACTATTTTCATTATCCATCATCAGTCGTCGGGCAAATCAGTGCATGCCGTGCACAGATCCCACGGGCCACGAGCTGAACACCCCTCACATCGTCGCCCCACCAGTTACCACACTATCACCAACGAGATTCCGTCGGTTCTTGTTTTACACGCGAACAGACTTGAATTTTGG